CTTGCTTACTGGGAAAAAAAAGAGGAAAAAATTTAAAAGTACTTCTCTTATGTTTATTCCAGGTTCCCTTACTTTTCTGCTGTGAAAAAAGATCCTCTTGATCACATGGAAGTAAGTTTTCACTTACAAAAGACACAAAGAGGACAGTACTTTTTCGAATAGATGCACAAAAGTGATGAACTGCACATAGCTGCTGATAAAAATCAACTACTACTTCGAAACACTAGTACTTTGAAAAATCTATATACAAAGTTTGCACTTAAATAGTCTCAAAAACTAATACTTCTTTTAAAGGAATACAAGTGAAGGTATCTAAAGGAAAGTCAGGCTAGAGGCTCCAAGTTTGTTTAACAGATTGAAAAAAGGAAGAGATACAATATAGACTAGACAAATTGTTCTATGGGAAAATATAGCATTCCTCAAGTGGACTGAAACACATTTCACAACAGTACAGTACAAGAATTTGAAAATCATGGGTTTTGGAATAACTAAAAGATTCTCAAGGCTAGAAAGTTTCTGGAATCGCCAACTCAAGCACAACCTGGTGTAAGAAACTCAAGCACTCAGAACAGAACCAAGCCATAAAAAAACCTCGTATTTAAAAAAAACCCAAGACAGTATCATAATGAATTGGGTCACCAAAGCTTACATCCTTAAGACACTTTGGTAGAGACCAGAGAAAGGCTGTCATGGGTAACCCAAAATGTTACTATATTCCATATCTATCCATGCCCAAAAATTGTTATGGCCTCTTTTAAGATCCAACACGTCCATAACTGGAACCACAGGGCAAAGGGGGCATTGCTGCAGTCCCTTTTTAAGTTGGAGTTTGGAAGCGGGGAACAAACTCACTGCTGGCAGCATTTGCTGAAAGTGGATGCTCCGTTTTGGTGGGGTTACTTTGGGAGGTTGGTTGCAGTTTTTTCCTGGACTGTTATTTTTTTCACTTATATCTACTTGTATTTTGTTTCTCCTTATTGATGGAAAGGGATTGGTGAAAACAAAGGAGAACTAATTTAAGAGAGTTCCCTTTAAATTGTCTTAAACCAAGACAAAAATTTGGTCAAGAAACCTATAATAGTCAACCAGTCTTGGATACAAAGAAGAACAGGAAAACATGTACAAGGTATATATTTGAGAAGGGCCTACTCAATTATGTTCTACCCATAAGAAGCTTTATAAAAGGTTTCTGAGAGAAACAATGTATTTTGACATATACAGAAGGACTGAAACAACACAATAGTAAACAGTTAAACTGAAGTACTAGAATATCAGTTTGGGTATGAATTTAACTCTCAGAAGTTGGACTTTTCAGAACAAGTTAAAATAGTCTTTGAAAAAAGATAGAGTTTTAAAGGTCTAACTTACATCTTGTCACTATAGGTAGTTCTAAGGTGATTTGTATCTAGAAGATTCTATTTGTAGGCAGCTCTTACCTACTATTTAAGAGAGAAACATGCATTGAAAAAAAGATTTTAACTTTCTCAGAACATTTCCTGCAATGCCTAAAACTAGTGGCTCATTTAATTTAGACATTAGCTCTCATTGAGAAGAATAGTATCTGAGAAGAACATGAGTCCATAGATGATGGGAAAGCTGAAAAATATAATACAAAAACAACAAAGAAAACCACAAATTATTAACAAATAGAAAAATTCAGGTGAGAAACTAAGCAGAAAAGGTGGTACACTTCAACAGAAAAGCACAACACTTAATATACAGAATTATCAGTCCAGTGGTGTATGTGTGAAAAAGATCAAAGGAACTACGGATCAGTGATCCAATATTGGCAGAGATTTATTGTGCTTAGTGCTCAAAATCACATTTTGATAATCCTCAGGTCATCCAAATACCCTGCTCTTAAATAGGAACATGTTAGGAGACAACTGCTAAGGATGTAACAAATACCTTAAGAATAAAGAAATGAATAATACATCAGTAATTGTCAGGCATGAAATACAAAGCACAGCATTAACAGAAAAAGAACAGCAATTGGATATCCAAGTTTTTGCAAAAGAACTGGATTTTAAGCAAAGTAGACTAAATCCATGTGGTATGGAAAGTCACAGGGTTGTAAAATATAAGAATTCCCAATGCTTGTATTAAAATACTTATGAACAGTATGAGTAGCAGTTTAATTTTGACTTTTTATCATTAATTAAAGTCACATGACAATACTAATTTGAAGTAATAATCTCACCTCCTGAAGCAGTTCAATAATAGTAAAGCACAAACTATCCTGTTAAAAAAAATTTTAGATTCACAGGTCAGAGTGGCAGCTACCACCCACCATATCTGTGCATTACATTGTGGCAATTGTTTACAGAAATTACAATTCATTCTTAGGGAGAAACTGCAGAACAAGAGTAGGCCCTTTCACATAGCATAAAAGAGATTTTATACAAATTAGGAGCATAAAATGTGAGGCTTCAGGAAATACAACAGTTGAAGGAAGAACCAAGAGATAAGACAGCATTAGAAAAAAACTGAGCAGATTAATGTAGAAATCCAAAGACCCACGAGATCTATGAGGCAGTAGGAACCAGAAATATTTGAAAACTGTCAATTTATGTATTACATTACCAGTGGAATACCAATCCTTCCCAGGGAAAGATTGAAAGTGCAAGGTGAAAGCAGCTATTATGGATGTTACTACTTTCCAGTTTGAATCAGCAGCTGTTAGTATATAATAACAAGAAACTGGCTATGGACACCTTCATCATACTGCAGGTACCATGACAGATTCTGGATTTTTTTTTAAAAGACTGAATTAAAAAGTTGAGGTGGGTGGGAAGCTTTAGTTGATTCTGGCTTTCATAAAGAAAAATAAAAAATCCAGCCAGAAAGTCCAGTCAGACCCTTCGTGTCCTAGATGAGAATGACAAAATTTCCAGATTATAATTATATACTTACTCCACAGTTATCAAACATATCATGGAAAAAGCCTCCCCCTTAAGATGGCACACAAGTTTACAAATCTCTGCAGCTTGCAACTGGCCTCTTTTACAACATAAGGGTTATACAGAATCCCCGTTTTCCACATACTAACATGTATCTATTTCAACACATCTTCCTTACTCCTAAGGAAAGCAGAGGCCTAGGAATGTATTGTTTATCTTCCGCTTCTGAACTGCTTTGAGAAATAAACAGAGACAACAAAGAAATATCACATTCCTAGAAAGATTTAGAGCTCCTCAAAATATACTTAAGACAGAGATATTCATTGCTCCTATAGAAGGTTTTAGCCTTCTCCTAGCATGGGCAAAGAAAATTCAAGGGAGATCTACAAGCAGTATTCAGAACAGGCCATTCACATGTCATAATCTGAATAACAAGATAAGGATATAGCCCCTTAATTGTGGAAGCAACTACTACAGCTAACCTTTGCTTTTCAGTGTTCCACCACACTTGAGCCAGGTCCTTTTGGAAAAAAACCCAGAATTCTTTTCCTAAATAACCCTATATTGTTGCACATAGATGTTCAGAAGTCATCAAGTTCTAAAATAGAGGATTCAATGGATCTTTTGCAGCACCAAGTGAGTGCACTGGGAAGTAAAACATATTAGAAAAGCCCCCCTTTTTTTTTTTTTTTTTTTTTTTTTTTTTTCTTCACAAATTTAACAAATACTCATGTGCTTATGGATCTGTCTTGGAAGCAGGTTCCTAAAAATAGTGACTGACCTGGAAAACCAACCCAAATTCTAACCTTCTTTCTAGACAGTTTTATAAGGAGAGTAGAAAAAGAGAACATGTATGTATGCACGCACACACAAATACTCTCTCCTAATTTCATTAGCACTTAAGTGATAAAGTCTAAGCTCCTGAGATACACACTGTTATGGTAAATGCTTTTCCTGCAGAAATATTGTGCAAGGTTAGCTGGGTCCCCAAAATGCAACTCAATGCATTCTCTGAACCAACCACAATGCTTTATTATCACTTCTTCTCTGTAACAGGGCAATTCTTTCACACTTTCTTGAAAAGGAAAGGATTTCACTGGACAGTTTAAAAGCCTAAGTTAATGTTGGATCTTCATCCACTTACTGTAAGGTACACACAGTGTCAGTTTCTTCTGTCACACTTGTGATTAAGACCAGTAAGGTTGATTCACCAAGCAGGTGAATGATTTTCTGTTTCGTTAATTTCTCTCTTTCACCAGACCAGATACACTATCTAACCCCCTCAATTTTTCTGTATTATTTCTTGTGATTTTAGAAACAGCACCACTCTTCTCCCCACAGGACCCAATTTGCTTTCCTGCCCAATTCAGCAATAGCAGTCCTTCCACCAAATGTGAAAGCAAAGTGAAAAACCTTGCAACATTCCTTAGAACTCTGTTGTAGTTGGTAGGAAATAAATTTTAGCGATGAAGTAAATGAATTTAGGAAATTTTTAGTATGGGGCACAACCTGTCATGGATACCTTCCCATACTAGGCCGTGGTCATTTGCAAATGTCTTTGAGAATTCTGAACACAGCTCGGGCAAAGAAGCACATGAATGGCCACAGGTAAAAAGATGACCCCTTTTCCAGTTTCAACTGGAATGCAGCAGCAAGCAGAGAATTATGGATCCATAAAGTCCCTTCTCCCTAAGAAACAGGGGCAATGGTATTGCAGGATGTATTTCATACTCAGCTTCAGCCACGGAGGCTCGTCCTGCACCGTAAGGCTTTATTCACATAAGACCTCCTTGGTGTATAAGAGGCTCATGAAGGGCCCCAAGAGCTTTCACTTGGACGTGTGTCGGAGGAAGTGTTCTTTATTTTGTGCCAACTTCTCAGGTCACGGAGGGTGGAGCAGTACCCTGCTCCCAGCGGCAGCTTCAGCGAGCTGTCGCTTGCTGTCGACGACTGTGTGCGTGTGCTTGGTGCTGATGTTGTACCGGGGCCTGAAGCGGGGCACCGCGCGGGGCTGGCGCAGCGGCCCCGCGGCCCCACGCCCGGTCGCAGCGAGCCGCAGGCCGCCGCCGGGGACCGGGCCGGAAGGCGGGATGCACTTACCTAGGAAACTTCTCCTTCAGCTTCCTCAGACTCTGCCGGGTGGGCTGCACGTGCCCCAGGAACTGGGCTATCTCATCGTACTGGGCTTTGCTCAGCTTCATGCCTTGCACCGCCAGGGCTGCGAGGAGGCGGAAGGAGAGGTGTGGGTGACGCCGGGCGGAGACGCAGAAGGCCAGTGATGGTGGGGCGGAGAAGCGCGGCAAACCCGGGGTACCCGCTGCCACCAGCCCGGCGCCCAGGCAGCCACGAGCCGCCGCGGCCGCCGCTTCCGCAGCTCCGCCCCGCGTCCCGTCCGGGGCGGTGCGAGGGGGGCGGTGCGAGCGGCCGTCCCGCGCCGCCGGGCTCTGCGCAGCCGCTCCGGCGGGCGGGAGTGCGGCTCCCGGCCGGGCTTTTCCTGGGCGTTTCTGGCGGTGCGGGGCGCCGGCGGCCTCACGGCAGGGCACGGGGGATGTGCCCTGTTTGATGCCCCGCAGATCGCTTCTGCCGGCCGCCGTGGTGCCTGCACGGGCGGGAAGACTTGGCGGGGCGGCCCGGCCCGCAGCGGGCGGAGCGGACCGAGTTGCTGGCTGGCGCTCGTGTGCCGGAGCGCCTCCGCGGGCGCGGGCTGCGAGCCCTGCTGCATAACGCCTTATAAATGTCCTTTTCAAGGCCCTGTTCGCAATGCGAGTCCTGCTGCATAACGCCTTATAAGTGTCCTTTTCAAGGCCTTATTCGCAATGCGAGCCCTGCTGCATAACGCCTTTTAAGTGTCCTTTCCAAGGCCCTGTTCACAAGTCACGCTGAAATGTCTGTTTCTTGCTGCTCTAAGGGAAAACAAAAGTTACAGTTGTAGAGGTATGGATGCCGACCGGGCATGCAACCTTTTATATGCATAGGGTAGAGGCTCCTGCTGAATTTTAGGGGAAAATCATCCTAGTTTGTGCTTGGATTTCTTTCAAAGTTTGTTAAGACTCAAATTTAGTCAAGCAATATTATTAAATCCCATTTAAATATCAGTAAGTATACTGCAAGTCTTAATTTCCGTGGTGGGTGTTTTTAGTAACTATTATAATTTCAAAGATACTCCTTAAAGACAACATAAAAAAGACTAGCAGTTATGAAGAGAACTGACCATGCAGGTGACCAAGAAATATAAGTATTCCCATGGATCTTGATTAAATTGAATTCATGAACTACATATAGGTTAGTGGCGTCCTAGCCTTTTCAGTATCTTAGCTAGAAACTTTACAGTTTATTGCAAGAATTTAGAACTTCAAAGAGCAAATAGTATGGGTATGTCAGCAGGGTCAGTCATTAAGGTTTCTAATGGAGAATGCTCGAAGAATCCTCTATCTCTTGATTTTCCATGAATTTTGGTGAGTTTTGTTTGGAACCAGAAGCCCTCCTAGGAACAGCTGTTTCTGATGCTATGGCCTAAATATGAGTGTTTGAAACTCATCAATTACTCCACAGTAAAAGGAAATGCAGTGAAGAACCTAAGCCAAATTACAGATTCTATTCCTCATGCTGAGACCAAAAAATAATACGTGAAATTGAAAAAAAGAGTATTCTTTTAATGAGGAGCATTATTGAATGTAAAGATACTTTATTTTCTTTAGCTCTGTCAAAGAGCATAGTAGGAGATCTGTATGTTTGGGAGGGAAGATGGTGTTCTTTCAATCTGATATCCCCTTTAAAGGCCCATAAGGATATAATTTTCTTGAAACATAGAAAAGGTAATTTCCCCCTATCTTTCCAAAGATGATAATTATGGCTTTTTCTTTAGAAATAGATTTAAAAGAAAATAAATAGTCTTTCACTAGCATTACTACTTCTTCTTCAGAAACAATCAGTAGTACTTCTTTAAAAAGAAAAACAAAACAACATTTTTCTGTCTTTGTGGTGGCATAATTTTCAGTGAAGATGCTTTTAAATATCTTAATGCTGCTATCTATAACTTCTATCTGTTCATATTACTTATTCACTAATATATGTTCTTGATTTTTTTTAATTTTAATAAATCAAATGACACTTCAGTCTACAATGCACAGAACAACACATTAGAACTGCAATACGAAGTTATCAGTCTATGGAACAAACTACAAACATCTCCTGTACGTATTATGTGCACACTGGATATATTTTATAGTCTCTCCTACTGAATCAAGGTTTTGTAGATTCCAAAATCAATTTTAAAAAACAGATTACTTTCTAACACGAAGGTTCACTGAAGCCAAGAGGAGCTAATACCATGCTGTCATAGGGAGGTAACAGCCCTCAGAGGTGAACTGCTTCAGGGAAGCATTTTGCATGGTGCAGTGCAAAGCACAGATGAGAAGTTCTGTGTGCAAATAGAAATCACTCTTTGCCTAAATTAGTTCATACATAACTTTTCAAATGAAATATTCAAAAATCCAGTGAGGGAAAAAAAAAAAAAAAAAAGAGAAGTTCCTAGCAGAAAATCCATTAAACACTTTTTTTCTATCCATCAAACTGCCTTTCCAGTTTTACTGTATCAAATAAACATTAGACCATCTGCAATTAAGTTGTGGACATCTATATTGTAAGATGATGTAGATGGTGGGAGTTTGCATAAATAAAATAAGCAGCTGGATGAAATATGTAAGAAAAATAAAAGGTGGTAAAAAATTTGCATTTGGCTCAAGGAGACTGAGAGCTGCAAGTGGTTGGATGCTGGAGGAATGTTCTCAGAAAGTAGTTATTGTGTGCTCGCTTTGTTCTTAGATGTTTCCATGGTATCTGCATGAGGCAGCTGCTCCTGATTTTTGCCATGAAGTTGGTTTCCAGTGTGCCTATTATATAAACAAAATTTCCTTCCGAGAAGAAAATAAAGAGAAAATAACTATGGGAAAAACAAATAGTTGGGAATGATAAGTTGGGGGAAAAACGCAGAGAACATGTAACCTTTTTGGGGAAAATAAGGACAGGGAAGCAGAGCAAAACACCTGGCAGAGGACTTCCAGTAATGACCATCCTTCCTTGTAGGTCGCCTTGGGCACAGTTGGTGGAGGACGTGAGTAATGGACCTTTGCTCCATTGCTTTTGTGCTTTGTTTTACCTGGTAGCGTGCGATATTCGTATGGGTGTCCTGTTACTTTAAGATGATTGCATAGTGTGATTTACAGCTAAGTTCGGAGTTAAAATACCATTCATTATTCTCCACAGAGCTTGAAATGACTATATTTTGAGAATAGATAATTAGAGTATGATATTAATATGGAGTCAATTCATGCACAAAGTGCAAATTTTGATTTGTTTTTTATGGCTTTATGTGCAGCTATCATTTTACTTTATCACCCCATTTCTTCATAGACAAAATCTCTGGTCCATGTTGCTTTCTGTAACAAAATTAATGAAAACTCTGCTAGCACTCATATATATTTTCCAATGTATTGGTTGTAGATGGTAATGTTGGGAGCTATGCTAGAACTAGAGTCTCATTGGCCACTGATTGTGGTGCTAATTAGAATTGCCTAATGCTTTTAATCCCACTGCATTCAGTTTAGTGCGTGTACTTCTAGAAGTGTTTTTCAGTTGTTTAACCTATTTAATGGGATATTTTTTGTTGTGGAATTCAGCTCTTCTTATTTGGCATTTTTTCATTGAAAGAAAAACTTGATCATGCTTCCACTTAACTTGGTCTAATAAACACCTCCACAGGATACCGTTGTTACCTCATAAAAAGGGAGAACCCTCAATTTATGTTCTAATTTATATCCATGGGTTTTAATGTACTTTCTGAAAGTGCTTGTATTGTGAAACAAGCCATAGTATCTTCAGTATGTATTAAACAAACAAAAAAGGAGTAGTTGGTCCATGCATCACTGTTAACATTAACTGTTTTGCCATTTCACAAGATGGTAAATCACCCTAAGTTTTTTTTCTCTAAAAATGTACATGGGATTGTTTGATACCACAACAATGTGAAGTACATGACATCAGTAGAAGCAATAGAATGATTATACATAGCAGTATACCAATTAAAAAGGGCAGACATTATTTTCCTTCTGTGTCTACAGATTTGTTCTCATAATTATAGAAGTAATTGGAGCAAATTAATCTAGCTTTCTGTACTATTACTATACTAGATATATGTTTCTATAAAATACTTATTTGCCTGTTGAAGTAGTTAAAAAAAAAAAAGAAAAGGAAAAGAAAAAGTGCGTTGCCACTATATTGAGAATGTTGCTTTATACTCACAGGGCCTGATCTGTGGTCCATAGAAAGTCTATCAATTTTAATGGACTTGGGCTACTTCTATGGTTCTTAGCTGCATGTTTATTTATTTTCTGTAACAAGATGTAAAAGACTGTTGAAAATGACAAGTTATTTAAAAATCAATTTCTGTAACTGAGATGGCAACATGCCCAAAGTGTTCTTACCATACCACTTGACATTCCTGTAGTTTCACATGATGAAATTTCTGGAGCTTGGATTTGCCCTTTTAAGCTCTCTGTAGTCAGATACAGAAACCTATATGAAAATACCTTTCTGTTTTCAAATGCCATTATTTAAAGTTATTATTAAAGTTATAATTATTTAAATTGTTTGAAGTAATTTTCCCTCTTTGTCTGTATTTGTTAAGAAACTGCATTAACTACTGTATACTGTTTTTCCCAAAAATACTTCAGCTTCATTCATGGTATGGAGAAAACCCCTGTAGCCATGTGATGAATTAGATTTTTTTTTCTGAAAGACTCCTGCCTTATTTATTGCAGAAATTGGAATACTTACAGTTTGAATGAAGCAGGAACTGTAGAAAGAAAATTTAAATGTAAAGATGATTGGACTGCTACGCAATGAATATGAATTGTCCTTGCCAATGCATACATTTTATGTAAGCATAGAAGTACTTTTCTTTTCTTTTCTTTTCTTTTCTTTTCTTTTCTTTTCTTTTCTTTTCTTTTCTTTTCTTTTCTTTTCTTTTCTTTTCTTTTCTTTTCTTTTCTTTTCTTTTCTTTTCTTTTCTTTTCTTTTCTTTTCTTTTCTTTTCTTTTCTTTTCTTTTCTTTTCTTTTCTTTTCTTTTCTTTTCTGTGTTCATTTTTTTTTTTTTTTAGCACAGTATGCATGTTATTCTTTGCCAGCCATCTAATTTAATTACATTGGTGCCATAAGCTGTTGTCTAAAGAGGTCATTCCATTTGGCTCTGGCCAGTTTCAGAGTAATGACTGTGCACATGCAGTACTGCTACTGCTGATTGTGTGCGTACATAGTCAGATGTTAACATACTGGGCACAGTGCTCTGAAAAATCAGGTCCTGGGT